TTTTTTTTAATCATTGTCATAATCTCTTCACTTTATTCTTCCAGTCTCGCATTGAAGGATAATATGATACTGTCGAGTTGCCAAGTACATTAATCAGGCTCACGATACTTAATTTTAGAGGAAACTATCAACACTGAGGTTGCAAAATGATGAAGAGCAAAAGTCTGATTGCTAATGAGTTACAATAGACTGAGCTGTCATTCTGAACTTCTAGTGACAGCTGACTAATGGTATTTACAATCCAAGTAATATATACAGAAGTGATGTTTTATGCCTCTCTGCCAACTGTGATATGTAGTCTTTGCTTTGTTTTTTTTATATGATTAGTGATATCACGAACCTTAATTAAACCATTGACATTAAAAGATTTTTCTACTCTGTCTGTTTGTGTAATATACAGTTGCTAAGAATTGAAGGAGATTCAGTACTTTGACAGTGTTATTATCGTTGGTATTACTGTGTGCTTATTAGGATTTATTTGCCATTATCATTATTATTATCACCTCTATCGTCTGCATGTCTTGCTTTCCTTTTGTTACTATTTTTATTATAGTAATCATTCCATCACAGCTGCGTCTAAGCTATTACGCAAAATACACAGATACCTGTTCTTCATATCTAAAAAAATGGCTTGAACATAAACCAATATAGATTAGCACACAGAGCAACCCTCTCTCTAACCCTCAAACGCTTTTACAGGTGAAGTACTTGCCCAGGCATGTGGAACGAACTTGCCCTCCCCCGTGGATACAGCAGCCAACGTGGCTTATGTTGTGTTCAAGGGTTTTGATAACACGGATCAAAGGGGTTTTAAACTCATCTACAACGTCAGCTTAGAAGGTATGCAACTGAGCGGCTAAGCTTTTTGCTAATTGTGATGTGATCCGTGTATATTTTGCACAAAACACGTTGACTATTCATCAACCTTGAATACAAAGGATTGTGAGAGCAAGATGTCTTGATAATGCGAACTGTTTAGAGGAATTAAAAGAAAAATGTGTCATAAAATCAATTTAAAAATATATCACAAAGAAAATAAGTCTCGTCAGCATGACACCCTGAAGTTGCGACATGAAGCATCCTATCAAAAAGTGACTTCAAATAAAATACAATTAATTAAACTATTAATTAGATACATACAGCATCTGTGACTCGACAGACGTCACCCTTAACACCCCTGTCACAAGAATCCAAAGAAATCGAAATAGTTTCCTTTCTTTCCTCCCTTTCTCTCTCCCTCACCCTTCTCTCTTCCAACAGAATGTGGTGGAGAGATGTCAGGACCCGAAGGCGAAATCAAGTCTCCAGGTTACCCGCATGGATATTCCAGAAATAGGATCTGTGTTTGGCATATTACCGTTCCCGAGGGGCGCAGAGTCATGATCGAGGTAGTGGACATAGACCTGGCCGCCGATTACTATGAAGAATATTCTTTCTATCACTGCCGGGATTACATACGTGTAAGGACTGAATGTAGGCGTATTACGAGTTTAAGTGTACGGAATGATATGTGCGTATTGCAGATTGTAATACGAAGTGCCATTTCTATGCACTTAGTGTGTAGATAAGTCATATTGCGTATATGTATGTACATATATATACATCCTATACATTATACACGCACACACACACACACACACACACACACACACACACACACACACACACACACACACACACACACACACACACACACACACACACACACACACATATATATGTGTACAGGATTTTTTCCAAAGGTATTGCCCTTACACATATTTTCGCAACCCCTGCAGATGAGGAATGGACCGGATAGGTATTCTCCGTCATATCATCCCTTCAGTCTTCTCTGCGACACCAGAGTGAGTAGTGTTATCTGGCGTTGTTCATTCACTCTGATTCCTCGCTTCTAGTGTATGGCATATGTCGAGTGTTTATTTTGAATTACTAACATTCAGTCTGTCTGTCTCTGTGTCAATTTCTCTCTCTCTCTCTCTCTCTCTCTCTCTCTCTCTCTCTCTCTCTCTCTCTCTCTCTCTCTCTCTCTCTCTCTCTCTCTCTCTTTCTCTCCTTCCCTTTCTCCCCTTTTCTCTCTTTCTCCCTTTCTCCCTTTCTCCCTCTCTTTCCCTCTCACTTTCCACCCGTTTCTCCCTTCCAATCCCCTCTCTTCCCTTCCCTCTCTCCCTTTCCCTCTCCTTACCTCTTTCTCTCCTTCACTCTCTTTTTCTCTCTCTCTCCTTTACTCTCTTCCTCTCCCTCTATCCTTCCCTCTCTCTCTCCTCCCCTCTCTTTCTCTCCCTCTCTCCTTTTTCCTCTCTCATTCATATCTTCTCTCCCTCTGCTTCTCTCTCTCGTTCCTTTCCTATTTCTCTTTTCCTCTCTCCCTCTCTCTCTTTCCTTCCCTCTCCTCTCTCCCTCTCTCTCTTTCCTTCCCTCTCCTCTCTCCCTCTCTCTCTCCTTCCCTCTATCTCTTTCCTTCACTCTCCCTCTATCCCTCTCTTCTTCCCTTTCTCCCTCTCCTCTCTCCCTCTCTATCTCTCTCTCTCTTTCCCTCTCCTTCCTTCTCTGTCTCCTTCCCTCTCTCACCCCTTTCTCTCTCTCCTTCACCGACAGAATCTGGAGAACCCTTTCTTCAACGCGAGTATGAACGTCGCTACAGTGGTGTTCGTGTCGAGAAAAGGTTTTTCGTCCGGTCGGGGATTCCGCCTGCGTTGGACTTCTGACGAACCTCAAGGTGGGTTGGGGGGGGGGGTTATTGAAGGGAAAGGGGTTTGTGTGTATTGAGGGATTGGGAGGGGCGGGAGGTTTTGTTTGAGTGTGTGTGTGTGTGTGTGTGTGTGTGTGTGTGTGTGTGTGTGTGTGTGTGTGTGTGTGTGTGTGTGTGTGTGTGTGTGTGTGTGTGTGTGTGTGTGTGTGTGTGTGTGTGTGTGTGTGTGTGAATTTGAATCCGGATATGCATAATTTTTAGCTGAAGATACAAGGAAGCTTCCTTCTTTTTCAGTCATTTGAATGCTTAAAGAAACATATACCATACTTTTTTATCTTATCTATGAGGGCCCTTGACCGCTCCCCGCCCGAGTGACAAAACATAAACATACAATAAACATACAATAAACATAAAACTAACCACACCTTCCATTCTTACCCCCAACAGAGTGCGGTGGGCGGCTTGACTATCCCTCTGGCGAACTGTCGACCCCTAGACAAGAGGAGGGACGGTATGCCCACAGCCTGTACTGCGTGTGGACGTTAGATAACCTTAATTCTCTGAACTCCTCCTTCAGTGTGTCTGTGACCCATCTTGACCTCGAGGATCGCTGCTTCGACTTCATCACAATCGAAGGAGGTAAAGGTCATTGCGTAAGAGATGGTTGGAGTTTTAGGGTAGTATTTGGAGAGAGAGAGAGAGAGAGAGAGAGAGAGAGAGAGAGAGAGAGAGAGAGAGAGAGAGAGAGAGAGAGAGAGAAATAAAAACTTAGATTAAAATAAAGTGAGAGGTTTGCATGAGTTGAGTGAAGGGTAACGTATACCTAGATTATAGTTAGAGGAAGAAGTACATTGATAGAATAGAGAAAAAAGGGAGTGTTTGTGTTGAGTATTAGGGAGATATATACCAGGATTAAAACTGGGAGGAAAAATAAGTAGAGAAGCCATTGGAAACGGTGTGTCTAGGTTGAATACAAAAGGAGGCATATGACATTCAGTCTCATTGATGTACAGAAGTCTGATTTAAAACAGTATGATGTTATTGATCCAGGTTTTCAACTGCTGTGGCTGAAGATAACCATTATATTTCGGAGTACATTTATTCTCTTTAGGCGTCGCCAAATGCTAATAACGATGACTTCTCACTGACAGTCTCAATGTTGTATCTATCCTCCTGAACTCGCCTTATGCTGAGGTAGACATTCTTGGTGATTTCAGTGTTCATAAACCATACTGATGCACCTCTTATCTCCCTTTCCCTCTCTACTTCTCTCGCTCTCTCTCCCTTTCTCTCCCCTTCCTTCTCATCTTCTCCTCCTTCTCTTCTTCCCTCTCTCTTGCTCTCCTTCCCTCTCTCTCTCTCTTTCCCTCTCTATCTCTCTCTCTCTTTCCCTTTCTCTATCTCTCTCTCTTTCCCTCTCATATAATAATAATAATATCTGTTAATAATAATAATCTGTTAATAATAATGAAATAATAATAATATCTGTTAATAATAATAATCTGTTAATAATAATGAAATAATAATAATATCTGTTATCTCCCCCGTTTCCCTTTCATCATCAGTGCTCTCTTTCACCTTTTCTTTGACGTATGCTTTTGCGGATGATAGATAGCCTAGCCTCTCTTTATAATTTCATTTCTTAGTGTATAGCCAAAGAATGATTATGATAATTAGATTAAGGTAGATAAGAATTAAGAATATACCTCACCCCTAAGCCATGATTTGATAGTTAATGAAGGAGATATTTTTTGCGTAGTCATAGGAATCAAAATGTCTAAAGCTATTTTATGCTAATCATCGATACTAAAACCTGTAAAAAAAACTGTAATATAATATAATACATAGAGAATGTGTTTAATATGGAGAAATGGAGAGGGAGAAAATAAATGAATAAATGTTGAGTGTATAAAAGACATACGGTGGACGTGATTTCTTTCCAGCTTCTGCCATTTCAAAAATCTACTAAAAGTAGCAGAGAAAACAACCATCCTAATTTTGAATATAATAATAGCATCCGTAACAATCTCGTCCCCCCCCAAAAAAAGAAAAAAATATATATAAGTAAATAAATATGATAAAAAATCGAAATTAACACGACTTAAATCTAACATACAAACGAATGAAATCAAATGAATAATCAGAAATATACGCATAAATATCTTTAACACAGACTTTCCATTTTTTATTTCCAGTCACCACCGAGGGAGAGATTGTTGAGGTTCAAAAAGTCTGCAACAATTATAACATGGAAACGGTTATTGTCCCTTACCCTGCACTGAGGATAAAGTTTATCGTAAGTATATTTTCG